TGCTGCAAGATCCCAGAAGCTCTGGAGCAACCCTCTGCCCTGCCCTGCCCTGCCCTGCCCTGCCCTGCCCTGCCCTGCCAGTGTGGCTGGGGCTAGTCTCCATGGCAACCCCAGCCTTGTGCTATCAAAGCACAGCTGCAGCTTGGGTCTCCATGGGCCCCAGCCATTGGAGGCCTGGGACTGCTGGGAAATGGACTCCACTTCTGGCCAGATCTAGCCTGTGGGCTATTCTTTGCCTGCCCCTGGTATCAATTCTTGTCCCTACTCAAGTAAACAGGAAGGCTCCCAGCAGCTTCAGTAAAGCTAAGATTTCAGCCTAAAGGTGCACTCAGAAAGCTGCTCTAAAGATTGGCTGCTGACAGTTGAGATCAGGGCAGTTTCTCAGCCTAAGATGCAATCAAGCACATGTGATAAGCATCTTGGCACTGAACATGTGCAATCCATGAAAAATCATTTTTGAAACAATGAGAAGGTTTTTTTTTCCATATTAGAAAGGATGAGAAAAAACAAAGTCATAATAAATGCTTAATATAGATAAACAGGACAATTTGTTCATTCAGAATAATTTGATCTCTCAGGAATACATCTGTTATTGTCTAAATGTATTCAACTGCGATTTGAATATTCATCCACTGCTTTCAAAGGCATAAAGTAGTGAAATTACCAAGAAAAAGAGTCAATAAAAACTATACAGAGAAAGCAGAAGTGTCACAAAGCATTTGAAATCAGCAACATTCTATTTCTGCATAAAAAAGAAATCACCTAACCTGCATGAACTGTTGGAAATGAACAAGTGCAGCCTTTGTAATTAGCAAAATACTTTGTTGGATGCATTCCCCAGACCAAATTAATCAGTTTGGCTAATAAATATCTTATTGGCAGAAGTGGCACATCTACATAGGGATGCAGGAAGTAGGAGTGGAAGAGACTTCTGGGCTAAGTACAGACAGTCAAAAAGCCTGAGGCTGAACTGATTCAGTTTTTGCAGAATAGTCTAAATTGCAAAGATTAAATTGAAACAGAAGTGGACAGACATTTACCTTTGATTCAGGATATGCAGCCACATGCCTGCAGTGGCTCAGGACAGAAGCTGGGGGGGGGCACTAAAGCACAGCTCTCTGCCACACAGCTAACATTGGCTGGGTATTCGCTTCCTCTTTCTGCTTCCCCAGAAGTCTCTGGGATTTGCAGTCTAAAGTCACAGCAACAAGACTCTGCAGGGTTGCTCATCCCTTCCTTTTCCTGCTTCCAGGTGCCTCTGGGATTAGTAGTTCATAGTCAGAGCCAGCAGTAAGTTTGAGTGGGGAAAGAGGTATTTAACCTCCTTCCCTTGCCCTAGACCCCAGATGGTTTTTCCCACCCCCCTCCCCCAGACCAGGTTGCATCCCCAGCTGGGTTTGCCACCCCTGTCCCCTTTTCATCCAGCCCTCAGTGCTTCAGCTAGGGAGCAAACAGGTGGGGCCAGCCCTGATCTCTGGAGCCCAGGTCTACAAAGTATGCTGGGGTGCTGGGAGAATGTAATTTAACTTCAACCAGGAACAGGTTTGGGACAGAAGTTTCATAAGCCAGCTTGACCCAAATCAGTTAAGTCTGATACTACATTCAACCAGGCTTATCTTTAACCAGTTTCAGCCATTTGAAACTGGTTTATGTGCACTGAACTTCTATTCTCTTACAAATTTAAACCACTTTCTGAATACTTCAGCTGGTTTATGTGTAACTTCTGTCCCCAGGTCCTGTGGCAGAGAGTTCATTCCTTTGATGCCGCAGACAGCCATGCCATTTAATTGTGTTCATACACTTATTAATCTCCATCTTAAAATTAGGTTTCTTTCCCCCACTCCTTTTGGAAGGCTTTTTAAGAACTTCATTTATATGATAGTTAGTAACCTTCTTCTGTTTTCCAGCCTAAGTCTATTCAGAGCTAACTGATACCCATATGTTCTTGTGACCACAGCATCTGAATTTAAATAGCCCCCTTCCTTCCTAGTACTAACAGAGAGCAATTTCATGCCCTCTCTCACTCTACATTTTGCCAGGCTAAATAGGCCAACTACTTTCAGGGTTTGTCAACAGAGTGAAATGAGTGTTCAGTAAGATAGGATATAAAGCACTATGGGTGTCTTTGTGCAAGGTAGTTTACTCACTTTGAAGACCATAATAAACTTAACTTACACAATTTTCAAAGGTAATCCCCCCTTACTTAAAATAAAGAATGCCCAAACAGGGAATTATTGTGGAATAGTGATAGTATGGTTTAAACTCCTACGCTGGCTTACTGTGGGGACTGAGGGAATAAACTGAAACTCTCCCATATGCACCATTAACTGACAAAGGCTTTCAACGCCTTTGACTTTTCTCCACCCCAGCAATTGTATACCACATGCTAAAGCCATTGCCTAAAAATGTCTTCCCACCTTATAGCTCTGTACCAATGAAGTTACCATGTATGCAGTCTAGCCTCTCTTCCTGTCCTACCATAGCTGTACCCTGGGCTGATGTAGGCTGCATGACTAACTGCATGTTCTAGATCAGCAGTCTCCAACCTTTTAAAGGTGAAGATAACTTTGTGAAGTAAAGGAAAATCCAGGATCCATCTCCCAGCAGGTCACTCTGTGGGGGAGGGCCAGATTGAGGCCCCTGCAGTGAGGTAGGGAGTGAGGCTGGGGTATGGGTGAGTAGGACCCCAGCTGGGCCAGACCATGGGAAGGTGAGAGCCCAGGTAGCTCATCCAGCTGCATGGGGGGCTCCCACTGCTGCATGCACCATGGTGGAGGCCTGGGGGGCACGTGTCCCCCTGATCTGTGCATGGGACAAGGCAGCTTTGTGCCCAGGGCTTTGCACCCCAAGCTGCAGCAGGGTTCGGGGTGCAAATCCCAGTAGTCAATGGCAGCTGCCTCACTCTATGCACAGATCAAGGGGCATGTGTCCCCCAGGCCTCTGCTGAGGTACATGCAGTGGCAGGAGGCCTACCACATGCCTGGATGAGCTGCCCAGGCTATCCCCACCCTAGATAGAGATTGACTGTCAAGGGCTCCCCAGTTGACTGGTTGGTGACCACTGTTCTAGATACACCAACTATGTATCCATGTAGCTACCATGAAGCTAGCACAATTTCACATCTTTTCTGGTTTGACCTAAAATTTCCTGTGACCCTATAATGGATATTTTTATTGAAGTCCAGAGATATTAAATATATTACATTTTCTTCATGTAGGAAAATCAGTTATTTTATCCCATTTATTTTTTAAAAAGAAAGTTATTGTATCACAATCTACTTTGGCTAAGCCCATATTGCATTTTGCTTCATGTTCCATTTATGTCTACAGCATCATATATTCTTTCCTTCAAAACTGGTCGTAGTTTTGTATACCACAGAGATGAGACTAAAGGCACTGGAATTGTTTACATAGCTGCCTCTCCCCACCCTCTAAGCAATGTGGATATTATATTTGCTATTCTCAGGTCATCTGGGACCAATCCCAAATTGATCAAAAAATTTTACAAAGTAAATATTTTAGTATTCTGGAATGAAGATTATTCATTCCCCACTAATTCAAGTGCATTATATTGACTTTTAACTATACCATGGGTGTGTCATTGTCCATGCCAATATTTTCAATCCCGTTAGCCTTTGTGCCTTTAAGTCCATGATAACATTGCATCAGTTTTCATCAGGATAAAGTATTTATTAAGTTTTGGCACCATGTCTAGATTACATCCTACATGCTTTGTCCATAATTAAGCCTACCAACAGCAACATCTCATGTACGAAGCATAGATATAGGAAGGAGACCCTCCCCCCAACTTCATTCAAATCTTAGCTCTTTCTCTGATTGGTAGTGTGGTCTTGGGAAAGGCACTTTGCTTGTTTGTATTTTTCCTATGTACATAGTGGAAGTAAAATCTATTTTGTTCACTCCCACTAGTATGGAGACAATTAACTCGTTAATATTTGTATAGCACACTAACAAACATAAAGCTCCATGGCTGAAATCCTCAGATCATCAAGTCAGTTGAATTTTGGCCATTGATTTAAATAGAGCCAGGATTTTCCTGTCTCTATTAGCTGCTGCTAAAAAAAATTATGTGCAAAGAGGTTCCATCTTCTGTCCTATGTTTTCTTTGTTTCTCATGACTTTCTTGGATATATTTGTTTTGGGTGAAATTTGCCTTGCGTGATCTCAGCTCAAAGTAGGATTCAAGCTCTTTTAAGCTACTGAGCCATGGAAATAATGTGTTTTTCCCATATATTCCACAGAAATTTTCCACTTGAATTATTGAAAATTGGCTTTAAAGGAGAAATTCAAACAAGAGTTATTTAATAGAGACCTGAAAGCAAATAGGGGAAGTGGAAGTTTTGAATGTGTAAGATTTTCACATTTGTGAAAGTAGCATAGAATTTCTGGACACATGTTTGGAAAACATTTGGGGGTGGTAAAATGTTAGCAACTGGTGTGTTTTAGGAGGATTTGTTAACTGTAAAAGATAAAAGGACTAGATTCTCTCAGCATTTTTGGCAAATCTGTGCCATATTTCCAATGCAAAACTGGCTTTACCAATCACAAGAAGTACAGGCAAGTTTTTTGTGTATCTAACTGGAGAAGTCTCTTAAGGGACTGTGGCAGGGACAGTAAGATTGCTGAGCCATGGAAATATGGCAGCAATGATGAGACTGCCGTGCCGCAAGACTTACCGGAGGTGCCACTGTACACTGAGTCACAGCCACAGGCAAGGGCAAGGGTGCCTGAGGGGGAAAAAAAACCTGCTGCCAGTGTAGATGTGCTTTGTAAACATATTCCAATGCCGATTCACTGTCAGGGACAGTGAGACAAAGCCAAAAACCCCAGAAGACTGCCCAAAAGGGGAACCAGAAGTGGGTCCTCAGCAGCCGAAGAAAGGCTGCAGTCAAGCGACAAGCCCCGGGAGGGGTAATTGGTGGCACTCTCCAACCAAGGAGCTGTCCCTACAAGCTGACTCAGAGGAGTTAGATGACCTACCTGGAAGAGTGACGTGGAGGTCCGGCTTTGCAGAGTGGAGCCGAGGCAGCGGTGCATCTGTAGGACAAGAAAATAGAGACGACTGGTAAAGAACCATGAATGAAGGACAGGAGACAGTTGACAACCCTCTTGCATCGTTGTGGATGCGGCTAAAAAGGGCGAAGTATAGACTGGAATTTGATCCAGATGAACCAAGCCAAGAGTGGGACTGAACTAAACTAAGGTGAAATTACTTCTGTGCAACATCAGAGTGACAAAGGCTTGGTGGTAGGCAGGGTGTAGGGAAGGTGGAGCCCCATTGTTCTCACGCTAATGATTAGACCTACCAAGATTCCACTGATCTGGGGTCTAACACCATTCTCCCAAGATTGAAGTTCTATCAAAGACGTGGCAGAAGAGCACCATCAGTGGTCTTCGTAACTGGTGCCAGTGGTCAAACTGTTGGTCTGCAAGGCTGCTGTTAGTTCTGGGTTATTACAAAAACCTAAGTGGGGAGTTCAAGACAGGCACAGCAAGTTACAGGGACTTAGGTTGAGTTTAGGTGTGTTTCAGCAGCAGTTTTAACAACAGCAGTGTTTAAGCCGAAAGGAGTCATAGCACCTGAATTGCTATACCAGCACAGCAGGTTCCTGGTTGTGGCAGGGCACTGTCTGTGCCTGCCACATTAAGGGCCAGAAGACAGCATCCAGCAGATGCCTAATTAGGGCAGACATTTTGGATTCAGGACTGCCCATATAAACAGGGCATTTTGTTGCTGGGAGGCCAGGCAACAACATCGCCTGGCTGGAGGGCTGCTGGTATCATCTGGAGGTAAGGGAGGAGCTGTAGGAGATGGTTAGGAGGCTCCTGGTCCCGGGCATGACCTAAAACTGCACCCTGCTGGGAGTGGGTGGCCTGGTGGGGATCTCAGTGGCACGGGAGCCCCCAGGAAATGCCAGACCAGTTACCACCCCAGTGAAAGATGGGCTGGGGCATCTTAACCCCAGCTGCCACAACTGGGTGGGTTACCCCCTTGTAGGGTCTGGAAGGTGGACCCCAAAAAGAGTGTGAGGCCATAGACTCAAGAACCTGTCTGAACATCCCCTGACTGGTCAATGCTGGGGCCAGGACCGGAAGGGTCAAAAGGCCAAGGGCCCACCATGAGGAATGCCCAAGAGCTGAAGGCCTAGGGTTCTGACTGGTCTGGAGGTGGGCCAGGGCTAGAAGCCAAAGGTCCCAGGGGGGACCACGCCAGTAAGGGGGAAGCAGCTCAGGGAGCTATGCAGCCAGGAATGAAGGCAGAATAGGCTGTCTAAATGGAGGGATCTAAGTGGAGTCTAACTGGTAGGATTCTGGGGCCCAATGTGGGGCCGGTGATATGGGTAACATCTGGATGCCATCTGCAAGGCTTGTGCTGCAGTGTAGGGGAGGAACGGAGCTGCAGATAGCGCCCCATGGCATTGGGGCAAGAAATGGGCAGCCTCCTGCTTAATTAACATCAATTAACTAATTAACAACAAGGCATGGCAGGTGAGAAAGTGGGCAGTTAGCCTAGAAACAGGTGGGCAGGCCACAGGGAAATCAGCCCGGAGCAGGCCCCCTGTTACACTGCTCTATGACTCAGTTCATAGGCACACAAAAATATATGAAAACAATTCACATTTATGTTTCATAGTTTCATAGTTTCTAGGGTCGGAAGAGACCTGAGCAGATCATCTAGTCCGACCCCCTGCCATGGCAGGAAAGAGTCCTGGGGTCAAACGACCCCAGCAAGGTGTTCATCTAACCTCCTCTTAAAAACCCCCAGGGTAGAAGCCTGCACCACCTCCCTTGGAAGTTGGTTCCAGACCCTAGCCTCCCTGACTGTGAAATAGCACCTCCTGATGTCTAACCTAAACCTACCCTCTGCCAGCTTGTGACCATTATTCCTGGTCACTCCTGGAGGTTCTTGGGGGAACAGTGACTCCCCCAATGCCTGCTGATCCCCCCCAGACTAGTTTATAACAGGCCACAAGATCCCCCCTCAGCCTTCTCTTTTGGAGGCTGAACAGGTTCAGGTCCCGTAGCCTCTCCTCATAGGGCCTGCCCTGCTGTCCCCTGATCATGCGAGTGGCCCTCCTCTGGACCCTCTCCATGCTGTCCACATCCCTCTTGAAGTGCGGCGCCCAGAACTGGACGCAGTACTCCAACTGCGGCCTGACCAGTGCCGCATAAAGGGGGAGGATCACCTCTCTGGACCTGCTCCAGATGCATCTGTGGATGCATGACAAGGTACGGTTGGCCTTCCTAACTGCCTCCCCACACTGCCGACCCATGTTCATCTTGGAGTCAATGATGACTCCAAGATCCTTTTCTGCCTCCGTGCTGACAAGAGGGGAGTTCCCCAACCTGTAGGTATGGTGCCGGTTGTTCCTCCCCAGGTGCATCACCTTGCACTTGTCTGTGTTGAAACCCATCCTATTCTCATCCGCCCACCCTTGTAACCTGTCTAGGTCAGATTGTAGCCTGTTGCTTCCTTCTAGTGTGCCCACGTCCCCCCACATCTTAGTGTCATCAGCAAATTTGAACAGGGTGCTTTTTACCCCCTCGTCCAAATCACTGATGAAGATGTTGAACAGCGCGGGCCCGAGGACCGAGCCCTGCGGAACCCCACTGCCCACGTCCTTCCAGGTTGAGAAGGACCCATCCACTACCACCCTCTGGGTGCGGCCCTCCAGCCAGTTGGCGACCCATTTGACTGTGTGGGTGTCTACGCCACAGCCTCCCATTTTCTTAATGAGAACGGGGTGAGAGACAGTGTCAAAAGCCTTCCGGAAGTCCAGGAAGACTATGTCCACTGCTACCCCTGCATCTAATGATCTGGTGATCTGATCGTAAAAAGCCACCAGGTTGGTCTGACAGGACCTGCCACTGATGAACCCATGTTGGTTGCCCCTAAGCATGCAGTCCCCTGCTGGCCCCTCCTGGATGTGTGCCAGAATAATTTTCTCAAACAGCTTGCCTAGGATCGAGGTAAGACTAACTGGCCTATAGTTTCCCGGGTCCTCCTTCCTCCCTTTTTTGAAGATGGGAACCACGTTGGCCCTCTTCCAGTCCTCCGGCACCTCTCCAGAGCACCACGAGTGCTCGTAAAGCCGTGCCAGGGGACTTGCAATGACCTCAGCCAGTTCCTTTAGAACTCTAGGGTGGAGATCATCCGGACCGGCTGACTTGAAAACGTCCAGCCCCTCCAGAAGCTCCCTAACTAAATCCTCGCTAACCCTTGGCCCAGGTGTGCCCCCCCTGGGGCCCGAGGGAGGCCCAGCAGGGAGGTGGCTGTTCTGGTCCCTACTTAGGAAGACGGAGGCAAAGAAATCATTAAACATGTTAGCTTTATGTGATAGCTTTAGTTTAGATTCACTTCACTGATATCAAGCTAAACACCTTTGATTTATTAAATACACTTTACAATGAACAGTATTCTACTGCACTTTCTTATTTGCCTTTTTGAAGACTTTTAAAAAGTTTTTACACAGTATAGGAAGATGAACTATTTTCTTAACTGCAGGAAGGATGTTTTTTCCCTCTTTTTTCCCTCCTTCCTGAATTTTGGCAAGCAGACTTGTGGCTACAGCACAAGGGAATACAGAACTAATGAAAACTTATGAAAAGTAATGTGCCACAGGAAATAGTAAATGATAACAATTGATGTACAGCTTTTTATTACTCAATTTTTAAACAGAAAAGTCACTTTCTGTAATAATAAACATGCTGTATGATATAATGCTGTAATAACACATTAAATAACTGAACAACAGCTATATTTTTTTCCTTTACCACACAAAAATGAATTCAGATTTGGAATAAAATAGTTGTTTCCCTGTTCTGTTTTAGGTATATGTGCATCTGATAGGCATTCCTAAGAAATACAGTCCAACTGTAAAAATAATAGTTGATGTACAGAATATCATAGGTCAGTTGAAGATAAATTTTGTCTAGTTTGTTATTTTGTACCTGCATCCTATGAATGCGTGTATTGACTCTAGGATTTGAGGTCGAAGGGGTGGAGGGAAAGACTTGGATGCATGGCTTCTGTTGAGTTTGCCGACCTTTCCTGGCAAATAAGGATTGACATTCAGTATCTGTTGTTTGCAGCTCTAATCATAACATGTATATGTTGTGTTTGTATGTGTTTTTAACCATGTCAGTACTGAATTGTACACTTTTATGGGTTTGTCACATGCATTAAATTTACCTATATTTCCAATGGAAATGAAAATATGCCAAAAGTTATCCTTATGTTGGATGCCTGCCTACTATGAACAGGACACTCTGACAAGGTTGGCAAAGCATACTAAGTTCATTAAGCAACAATTTGGCTATTGCTAAACAGACTGTCACAAACCCATCCCCAGGGGACTCCCAGAGCCTCAAGTTCCTCCCCTGCTGTGCTACTACTCACCCAAAGGAACAGACTGAGGTTGCCTCAAGATAGCTTCCTATGCCAGCACCTCAGTTCCTCTGCTCTTATGCCAGACTCTGCAGCTGCTATGAAGGATCTCTGCCAGTCCTGAGTAGCCCCCACTTATGGATTATGCAAGAAATTATAGGGTGCCATCTCCACAGAGGGGGTCTTCCTGGAATATCACCTGCTCTGAAGTCACTCTGCCCACAGGCAACATATAAGGAAACAAATAGCAAAAGGATTTATTACACAGGATGAAAGAAATATGCAACCAACACAGACCATGGGTTTAGAGCCAGAAAATAAATACAGATTCTTATGCTCTCCTCTGGCTACCTCCAGGCTCCCATGTGAGTCCTTGATAGAGCTCTAGAAACCAGCCTTCTTGCTGATTCCACCAGTCCTGGTAACTGGGGTCAGTGAATCCCCAAAAGCCTGAGATTCAAAGAGAAATATTCTAGCCTAGCTATGCTGTAAAAAGCCTGCAATTCAACCCCCACCCCACAGTTAGCATCATTCTAATGCTCATGAGTCACTAGAAAGGTCTGGTGTGCCTGGAGTACCTGGGGTCCCACTGGTTTGATGGGCTATTATTCCCAGATGTCTTTGTAGAGTCAATTATCTCCAACATAGGCAGACAATACCCAGAGGTGCCCTTCTCACCAGTGGTCCCTTCCCTCTGCTATCATGAGTAGCAATTATCTTGGCCCTAGAACACAATGGCAAGGATAATCAGCAGTTCTACCAGCACCCTGAGTTCCCTGCCTAAGTTGTATCCAAAACTATAAAGCTTTACGTAGCTGACTTAATATAATCCATACAGTATCAGCAGCTCAAAAGGATAACGGGATTTCCAATGAGACCACACATGCTATATCAATACAAGAAAACACAAGAAAACAATTATGACATGCCACCAAGCCCAAAACACAGCAGGCTTTATAACACAGGCTTCACTGATGATACTGATTATAAGAGTGTCACTAATGTCTGTCAAGCCACATTTTCTAAAATGCTGCATTTTCCTAGTGAATTTATGAGGACATAAAGGTACTTAACTATTTGAGCAGTTT